CGCTCCAGAAAAGAGCGCGCGGCTACTGAGAAGAAAGAGGGGGACATATATATATATATATAGATATCACTGAATGAACTCCAACCCCGGTACTGGGAAGAATACTCAGGAGTTTGGTCTATCATTCACTCGTTAGACTTGTGCTCAGCAGCCAACGATCCCAACACTTTTAGTTTTGGTTGATGTGTTCCTTCAATATCCTTCAACACTTTTCCCACACTTGAGAAACAGAGGTTCAATGCGTAAGAACACGCTTGGGGCAAAAGTGAGTTTCTCAGTCTTCGATTGACCTTGTGGACCATTAGATTGCATGTGACATGCTTGGACTAGTGACTTTTGTGCAGCTGGGAGGCCAAGCTAGACAGCAGATGATGCTACCACTGATGGAAGTAGTTTCAGCATTCAGCTAGACATGTGCTCTATATTCCACATGCACGCATTTCACTGCATTGTATCTTTGTATTATTTGTAAAGCCGTGCAAACAGCACACACATATATATATATATATTTATGTATGAGCACAGGTTTCATAGTTTGCCCAGTCAAGTTGAGGTCTTCAGAAATCCCAGGCGCAGTTGATTCATTGCACAGGTGCCAGTTCCCTTTATGTGACCTTTGCATTCTAAACAGGACAATTGTACAGGCCTAGCGATCGAAAGTAATAAGGCCTGAGTCGGAACAGAGTTTTCTTTTTCTTTTGGAAGATGGTCTTGTGTTGAATGCGTGTTAGAGTTCCTGTTTCAACGTGGCACTTCAAGTCCTTACAGACAAAGCATAATTTGCCCAAGTTGTATAGTTGTATCGGTTACCCTGATTATGTGAGGTCGCAAGACTGGTAATTCTCTCAGATATTCAACATTGGTTGTCACTGCCATGTTTTTACTATGCATTGCTTCGAATAGAACAATAGAACTCCTAGTCCCTTGATCCGAGATCCACCTTGCATGTTGCGGAACCGCGTTAGAAACTGTGGTTGTTGTCTGGAGTATAATACACGGAGAAACTGAGAAACTGGAGATGAGAAGAGAAATGTGACTGTGTTCTTGCATTAATCATGCGAAATCTGGCGTGCTATGTTCTTGGCTTTGCATGTGGGATATCGGCCACAATGATGTCATTCCGCATCTCGTTGCTTGCCATCCATGTGCAGCCAGCCCGGCTGCCTTTTCTACCTTTGACATTCTTTTGTTATATGTATGATTCTGATTTTGACTGCTTCTAGAATGAACTATTGCTTTGTTTGAAGGACTTTGTCCTCATCTAAGGCCTATCTCCGACTTGAAGGGTTTGATGGTCCGAACCACCGCAACCACGGCTGAACCTGAGCCACTTGGAATCATCAGACACACGCATTTTCTTCTTACTTGTTTTTTCCATCCAGTTTGCAATTAGACACCCCTCCCAAAGAGGAGAGCTTCAGGTTCCACCTTCTATTATGATACACATTTTTTGTATCTTCATTGTGCACTGCTCATCGTTTTGCTGAATACATTTTCACCTGGTTTCTCGATTTGTCGGTCAGCAACCTCAGCGACACCCCTGCCCAATTCTTGTTTTGCCACCTGTGACTTTGCGCTCACATAGCTTTTGTGTACATACCCATTGTCTCAAGCTTGCCAATTGAACTGCCTGTTTCGTGAAAAAAGGCCAGTGGATGCAGATCCTGCCTATGATGCCCCTGACGATGAGAATGATGTGGGACCTTTTGATTGTCCAGAAGGGTTAACAAACATCACCACGTTGATCAAGCGGAGTGGACCCTTGCCCAACATGGTAGCCTTTCATTTTAGCATGAGTTTCTACACCACGAAAGTTATTGAGAAGGTCGTTTACTAAAAGAGCTAAGGATCTGATAAGTTTTTTCCACATCACTACGAGCGTTATTATGAACACTGGCTTAAAGACAAGAGATGCAAGCCCGGCCTCAAAATAGTGGAGATTGGGGCTGAGCACGGGCGCTCCTTGAAGATTTGGGATGACTATTTCACTTCTCCCAAGACAGTTTTGGGTGTGGCCTACGGCAATTCTGCAGGTGGAGTAGAGAAGACACTTGGACCCAAGACTTCCGTGATATGGGGGGATCAGTCAAAGAATGAAACGATGCAGGATCTCATTTCACGAGGGCCTTGGGATATAATCATTGATGATGCTTCTCATGAACCATCTCACATGATCTACTCTTTGTTCTCCCTGTGGAAGTCACTCAAACCTGGCGGCCTCTACGTCATTGAAGCTTGGTTGTTGTGAGAATTATTGTTTCCATTTGTCCACCGTCACTGAATGTTTTTGTCCTTCACCTTGCTTTGCTCAGTGCCAACTTGCTTTGGGACAAAACCCTTCGCAGTTCAGGAAGACTTAGAGACAAACTACTGGCGTCACGGAAAGGTGGTCTACGGATACAAGCTGAAGAATACCGGAATTGGCACAACGGCAAAGTGGTCTGCCGTCAAAAAGATAGAACAGATGCTCAGCTGCCGGTGCATTTTCTGTTTTGTGGTATTGAATCAGCACAGTCGTCTCCTGTGTAGCTAGTTGCGGTGCATTCTTGCTATCCTTTGCAAGACGTATTTGCAAAGGGCGGGAATCAGAAAGAAAATTATCGGCGCGCGCAGACAGGAAACGGGACGTGCCCGACGATACCAAGCAGAGGTCTCCAGAATGCACTAGACACTAGGCCCTTCACTGCAAAGCTGTCGATCTGAGCCTACAGGAAGCACGATCGAAAAGGGTAGGTATATTTAAAGTATCAGGCTTTCAGCGGCCACTCCTTGACAAATGCTCAAAAAATGATGGAATGGATGTTAGAGATTTTCGGAGCCTTGACACGCGTTCACACACTCGAGATATTGCGCACGGAAAGGACTTGCGGTTTGCCACACGCCAGCCTAAGTGAAAACCTAAGGTACCAGGGTAAAGTAAGTCAGAGTAGGTTGGAGGCCATTTCATCAAGGTTGGAGGCCAGCACATCTAGGTGGGAGGTCATCGCAACAGGTTGGAGGCCATCACCGTGGTTTCATGCGAAACAAGACTCACAGCAGCAAGACTCTCAAGGTTGGAGGCACTAGTTGGGTGGAGGCCGTTCGCAGCAAGGTTGGAGGCCCTCGCTACAAGGTTAGAGGCCAGCAAAATGCAAAACACGAAACGCAAGTTACGATTAGTAACAGAACCACATGAACCATGAAAGCAAACCACAGCGAGAACAACAGGTAACCAGTTACGTTTACACAGGTCCCAGATGAGGTCTTCGTTGGCCACCGCTCCTCTGGCGGTGGCCCCCCGCCATTTTGAAGACCAAAAAGGTCCCCTCTCCAAGGGTGCCACACACGCCTCCCAGAGGGAGGTGGAGTAATTTGCTTCTAAGGCGCCGGCCTGAAGGAAGGAAAGAAGGAAGGAAGGAAGGAAGGGAAAAAGGAAGAGGGAAGAGGGAAGAGGCGAGCCGTCCATCTGCTTCTCAAAGCTTCCCACGACACGCTTCAGAGGCGTTCACCTGCACATGTGCACGCAAAAGGAACAAAAAGAGAAGACATAAAAGGAGAAGACAGACAAAAAGGTGTGGTTGCCAATGAAGGGAGAACCAGGTGAAGAGGGACAACCGATGAACCAAGCCTCATTGTAACAAACCTGGGGCACCTATGATTAGTTTGTTCAAGAAAGCACGCGCGCGCGTGTGTGCACAGACTAAGGCACCGACCGGGACCAAGGTGCGAGCCAAAAAAAAGAGGGTGAGGATGACAGGACATGAAGACAGGAAGGACATGAAAGAAACGAGGAAAGCAGCGTGTGGGGGCTGATGAAGAGGAAACCAGATGAAAGGGGACAAACCGATGAGTAGCCAAACCTCATTGACCTCATTGAAGAACCTGTTGTAAACGTCTCGTTTGTTTTGCAGCATGCCGCGCACGAGGGAGGGCCTACTTGCGATGGCAACGGCCTGCAACCTAATAGGGATGGTTCCCAACCTAATAGCGATGGCCCCCAACCTACTAGCGATGGCCTCCAACCCAATAGCGATGGCCTCCAACCTAATAGCGATGGCCTCCAACCTAGTAGCGATGGCTTCCAACCTAATAGCGATGGCCTCCATAGGGATGGCCTCCAAAATAAAATGATGGCCTCCAACTTACTTGTGATGGCCTCCAGCCTAATGGCGATGGCCTCCTCCACCCTTACTTGCGATGGCCTCCAACTTTGACCTCCAACCCACTTGCGATGGCCTCCAACCTACACACACATTGTCAATGATCACACACGATGTGCACAAAAACATGCCTCAGTCTGCGAACTCGATCAGGGTTTGATTGAGAGTGTGCAATGGAACTATCCATGAATCACATCCTCACATTGTTGCGTCGCTTGGGTTTGGGCAACCATGTCACTCAGGATCACTCAAGTCCTAGTCCGCCACCAAATTGGTGCAAAAAATTTGACGGTCATGCCTGGTGATGAATCTCTGTGTGCAGTGGAGTGGGGCATGAACATCGTGAGACTACGGAAGTGTACTCGGGAGGAAAGGGCTTTCCATCCAAAGATGAGTCCAAAAGTTTTCTTTGACAAGAAGGCAGGATGGGAGCCGTGAGTCTGTGATATGGAATTTAGTGCGCCTTGTTGCACAGGGAAAACACCTGCAGACGGATGTTGGAAAGGGATTATATAATCGGTCCTTAGGTGGGTGTGGAAGTAGAGAAGTGCGACCAAAGTTTCTCATTGGGCCTTTTCCACAGTCTTATCATCCTTTCCCGCAAAACATGTGGACTTCTTTTGACCCAAACAACTGTGCCAAAGTGAATTCTTGAAGAATTTGTAAGTACTTTTGTGTTTGTGCCCCTATCCCTGTCAGAAGATGGATGCATGGATTGAAGAGGCCAAATCGACCAATCCAATTATTTGAGAGCCCTTGCTTGCTCACGTCCTGGCGACTGCACTTGGCGCAGGGTGGGGTCACGAGCCATCAAACTGACATCTTTCCTCCATCGTGAACTGGGAGTAGTTCCGAGTGCAAGGCCCAATTGGCCAGTCATCACAATCAAAGCCCCGGGAGGTGAGGAAGTGATCGCAGCCGTGCTCCTAGATCGCGTAGCAGGCGGTTTCCAAGTCAGGGCCAGACAAAATGCTGGAGCAAACCGTTCAACTGGGCCGAGTGAGCTGCCTGCAGTCGTCTCTTTGAGTTGGAGTCAGAGCTGGCCGGGCCTGGAAAAATCAGTGCTGTAGGTCCGCGTGTCGGCATGATAATGTTGTTGTAGTGTTCTTTTTGCTCTCAAACCGGACAGGAAGCCATGCCGCAGCTGTTTCAGTGTTTCATATTCAATGTGTAAGAACACGCGCTAATGACCTTGCTGATGCATGGGGCAAAAGTGAGTTTCTCAGTCTTCTATTGACCTTGTGCACAGACATGAAGATATTAGATTGCATGTAACATGCTTGGACTACTCACTCTTGTGCAGCTGGGAGGCCAAGCCAAACAGCAGATGATGCTACAACTGACGGAGGCTGATTCAGCATTCAACATGCGCTCTAGTTCCATGTACACCTATTTCATTGCAGGATACCTTGGTGTTCTTTTTTGCAAACAAATTCTTTTTGTTTTTCGCCTGCCGAGTTCAGTGGTCTTGAAGTCTCGTGGACGGTTGCCATGCGCAGGTTCCGCCAGTTCCCTTTACGGTGCCTACAACTTCCTGCTGGGATGCGCGACTCCATGTGCGGATATGGGGGCGAGCGAAAGTACGGGCTCGTCGTGCGCCCCAGAGAAGTGCCAAGGGATGCTGTGCAATGGACCCGAATCATTCGTAATGAAAGTAGATTTCAAGGAGAGAAAACACACATGAACATAAGACACACACACCAACAAAACGGATCAAAGAGAGAATAGAAAAGCGTCGAAGAACCCAAATGTTTCATTGTGTCCGCCAGTGGGCTGCTTCAAGGCTTGTAAAGGTCGTCCAGCATTGCTGCATCTCTTCGGAAAGAGAGGTCAAAAGCTGAGATGACACTGGAAACATCCAGACTGAAGCGGATTGCAGATTGGGTCAGGAATCATTTGTAGGACCATGGCGTTTCTTGAGCAGCTTTTGTGTCAAACGTTTGGGAATATACACTAGCATTTGTATGTGTGCCCTGAGTTTTTGCGGAGATTCAGCCACGTTTGTTGTGCCAGTGGTAGCTTGCTTCGGAGTCTGGTCGAAGTCCAGCTTCGCCTACCATTGGTTAGGTGTATTCTGGTAGTTTGGCGAACTGCGCTATTTTGGCATCAAAATGAACTTTGACAATGCACTCTTTCTTTGTCTCTTTTTCTGTCCAGGCTGCCCTCGAGCTGGTCGAGCAACATCGTGTCATCGGGTGCCGGACTTACAGCAACCGATGTGCTACAATGGATCACGCCACGATGTTCAAGACACGAGTCGTTCGCAGGGATGCTGGCACGATGCAGATCGAGGACGAGGACGAAGTCTGGCCCCGGGAAGTTGTCTTGAAACTTTCACCTGCAAAGCTGTTGCGTTGTTTCATGTTGCTTCTCTGTGTGATTCTTCTTGGGGCCACAGATTTGGGCAGCCTGGACCTCTCCGCGAGCTTTAGATGCTGCAGGTCCACTTTAGAGTCGGAGAGGGTAGGAAGAGTGGCAACTTGGAATCTGCCAGTCACCTCATATTAAGTTCAGCAGGCCATCGGCAGAAGCTCTTGGTCCGCCCAGAAAGAGATCGCAGGTGGTAATGTTTCTTTTTCAACTTCATAATCATTCAGTTGTTGCTTGATGTTTGTGGCAGGTTCGAAGAGCTCTATACCTTAGACAAGAAAGTGGGCGAAGGGTCTTTCGGCAATGTGTACAAGGCCATTGAAAGTGTTGACAACGCAGTTGCGAAATGTGCTCAAGTTCAACAATTCAACACTTACGTTTGTCTGCAGGCCCATGCCAAAAGTGCACATGGAGTCTGACCCTCAAGTGTAGTCTCACAAACATGCCGAAACATGGTAATCACTCAAATGTACAAGGCTCAACGCGCTGTCGCTGTGAAGGCCTAGTCTCCACAAAAGCATGCCGAGCATCTCTAGGAAAACATCACCTGCTCTTACTTTTCTTAGTTGAGTCTTCGAACTTACTTTGGCAAGGGATGAGCTGCTTGCAGTGCAGGTCTTTTCGCTAGCCTCGCCGATTGCCTCTCCTCAGGCAGTGTAATGGAAACGCAATGAACACTCGAAACCTCCAAGAAACCTCCCGAGACGGAAGCGAAAGCGAGCGAAAGTGAGCTGTCTGTCGCATTGGCTCAGGCCAAAGTGGACAGCGAGGAAGCGAAGCGAAAGCTTGCAAGCTTTATCAGTGAGTGTGCCGGGGAAGCCAAGTGAAGCCGATGCCGAGAAGAAGCCTGATTTGCCGAGAAGAAGCCACTTGGCACCTCGATCGTGTTAGGCCATGCTGTCTCGCCTCGACCATCCTTATGTCGTGAGGCGCAGAAGGGGCTTTCGTTTGTGGAAGATACTGGTGTGGAATAAAGAAGCAGCTAATGTGTGAGGATGCACGAGTCGTTTCAATCAGCTGGCTCGCTTCATTTGGTTCTGGAGATGTGTTGGGCACTTGGGCAATTTGAACAGAAAGCCTTGTCCAATCTTGTGCTCTGAGGTCAAGGCGGTGAGCTTTACAATCTCCTGGTTAGAAAGATAAAAGAGGAGCAGCGAGATTTTCTCTATAACATCTACAACTAGCCATCGCGTCAGCCTTCATTGAATCCTCTGAATCTCTCGACGCAATTGCGCCAAACCGCCAAACGTGCAGACAGCTTGTTACAGGAGGATGGCCTTGAAGAAGTTACGGGACAGATATTCTTTAGGCCCTTTGCTGTAGATCTGGCCGTGAAAGTGATCTGTCCTGCCCCACTGGACTCAGGCAAATGCTGCATGCCGTGGGATACCTCCACGCCGGACGCATTGTGCACCGTGACGTGAAGCTGGGCTCTTGGGATCCGGGGCGAAACGGCGAACGAAAAAGAAACTCATCTTTTTCTTCTGTTTCTAGAAGCGATGGCCTCCAACCTCATAGCGAACTGAGGCCAGAAAACTTCCTGGTTTCCGGAGATACAGATCGACCTGAGGCCACGTGTGGCAGCTCTGAGAAGCAGACAATCATCAATGCAGTCTAGCATGCTTTGTGTAACCTCGAAGGAAAAGACCGCTTCATAGACTTTGGCATTGAATAGTTTTCATGCCTTATTTTTGCAGGAGTTGGTCTTGAAGCTCTGTGACTTTGGCACTGCCACAGTCTTGACACAGCAAAAGCCCAGGCTCAAATGCAATCAGTCTCTGAGTTGTCCAGGCATTCAAGCAGGTACGTAGACTGTAACGGCTGTAGCAGTTTTGCCAAAGCTTGTTGGCCGTCTGTTTTTGCAGCATCGGACATGTAAATTGGCTTCCCTTGTGCTAGGTCCATGGTTAACATTGGAACTCTTTCCTACACTGCTCCGGAGGTGCCTCTCATGAGGGCAGAGACAGTGACAAATAAGCCTAGTGAACAGTGAACAAGTATCCAGGCCAGGTGGCTAGTAGTTGCAAGAACCTCAGCAGCTGTTATAGAGACGTGGCCCAAGAAGCTTGCAGCTTGTGCAGCTTGTATCTGACAAATCCAGTACATAGCGGTTTCTTGTGAGACAATGAAGCTCACTGCCTTTTCTTTCGCTGGCGTTTATGGCGTGGGACTATCATTGCTTATACTTTCCGGCAACGTCACAGATAAACTTCTGTGCCTTTTCATCCGCAGAGAGCGCTACACATTCAAAGATATAGAGAAAGTCTGGGCCAACTGGCTCGCGGTGGGATGTGCCTATGTGGGCATGATGAACTTCTCTGTTGCCAACGAGCATGCTTTCGGGCCTGACAAGAATCTCGTTGCGATGAACACTGTCTTCATTTACGGCATGTGGGCAATTCAAAATACATACCTGTGTGTTTGCAGGAGTGACCTCTTCAGACCCTTCATGTGGAGCAACTCCATACTCTGTAGTGCTGCTGCAGTGGCCAGCTTTTGCGCCACCAATGGGGGCGGCTCTCGGGCTTTGGAGGCTCAATAAGACGCCATCAAGAAGAGATGATCCGATGAGCCAATCCGCTTTTCTCGGTCTTCCTTCCAGACTCTTTGGGATTCGACCAATCGACTAGATGTTCACATGGAGCATCGCACGCCAAGGTTTGGAGTGACAAAAGATGATCGTGCTTGATTCGAGGATATCACGCAAGCTTTCAGGAAGCTTCTGCTGATGATTTTTGTTGGAACTTTAGTTGAGATGGCAGGTGTACATGCGCAAAGGAGCTGACCTTCCGGCAGATATTTGGTCGGCCGCTTCAGTCATACTGTGCCTTTTGTTTTCTTCTTCTTTGATTATCGCACCCTTATCAAGCGAGGTCGCTAGGCGTTGTCCTTTATGTCATGCTGCACGGCCCTTGGGTTTACATGTCGGTGTAGGCGAGGTTCCTATCCTGAAGAACTCAGGACAGGAACCAATCCTTTTCGCAATGGCAAGGAGACCTCAAAGCAGGTGGGCTGAGTGAGGCTGCATTGTTGGCTTTGCTTAGTCAGAAGGAGTACTGCGTGAGCTGATGAATGGTCAATTGGTGAATAGATTCCATTGCAGGAGACTGTCAAAAGGATAAAGTCTGGAGTGTGCTGGCCTTAGTTTTGGTGGATTTGGTAATCAGTGTAGTCAATATAGACCTTTTGCAGCTGCTTGCCACTTAAGGTTTGCAACACAGCGTGCTGGATGGCTCAAAGTTTCTGAGCCAGGCTTTGAAGGATGGGGTGTTTGGCCGTGTGAGCTTTGGACGTGAACAGGCCAAGACATGGTGAAGAAGCTCTTAGTCCTAATCGAGGACAAGCGCCTCACCTGTTGCGAGGTAGGAGCTGGGGATTGAGATTTTCATGGTGTCGAAGCAGTCGCTTTGAGTGCATGAGTTAGGACACGAATCCCAGCTCCTTAAATGACACTTGTTGCGCGAAGGACGTTCAGGATTCATGAGGTATCTGCAGCAGATTGACATTTTATTGTAACTGAAGCAATGCGCAATTGTTGCTGTTGTTTTGTCATTATTGTTGTTGGAGAAAGACCCTGATTGTAGTATTCGTGTCTCAGAGTTTTGGGTAGCAGGGAACCCTGTGTCCTTTGTTGTTACTGTCGAGCTAGCAGTGTGATGGATACTTTGCTTGCTTCAATGGCGTTCAGTGGAATGTGTTGGACGTACTGGGTGCTTCTGCAGGTTTTAACCTGCACTCTCCAGTAAGTCCTTGGTGCCCTGCATTCTAGGTGTTGTCATTTCGTGGCGAGTGTTGGCGCCGCAAAAGGATTGGATCAAATTGTTCAGGGTGAGGATGTGGGGCAGGTTCCGGCTCTTTTTGTGGGAGCATTTCAACAACTCAACAGGACCATTTCATACCGCCCACAACAGCACATTCCTTGCCATGTAGGTAGCTTTCTTGTGTAATTGAGCGCAAGATGCATCAAACCTTACAGAATATATTCTGCTTTGCAAAAACAAACGTGTATCTCAGCACAAAAGGATTTCATACCACGAAGAGTATGCTGTTCCCTCGTTATTTTTTGGAGAAAGAAAGAGCTTCGCGCAGCCCATCGCAGAAATTTTCATAAACATGTTAACATGTTTCATACCACGCCGGCTTTGTTGTTCTGGTGCGGCGCAACATGTCGTGCGGATCACCGTTCGCCACAAGCACTTTCATGCCACGGCAGTCAGTTTCACTCAAAGCTGACTGCATTTCCGGAAGCTCGCCCTGCTGATTTTCACACGGCACTGCTTCACCTTTTTCGCTTGAGTTTTCTTCTTAACTTATGTCCAGTACTTCTGGCTTTTTCTGGCATGTTGCGGAAATAATATTTCAAACTTCAATATGACCAATCTCACTTTAATGTCAGTGACAAATCTCCCATGTTCCTGACTTGGACAGGCTTTGCAGCATGGTTGGGTGTTAGGTGCTCGAAGGTACCTCTCTAAGAAGTGGTCATGGTGGCGATCATTGTCTATTGACGTGGAAAGACCCTCGCATGACCCAGGATATCGTTGCCACCGAACGAGGAGGAACCTGAGGCTTTGGCCAACGACTCAGCTCGCGAATCGGATGTGCTTCTGCAGATTCTTGAGCAGTGCGTGTGTTGCTGGATGCAGATTCTTGAGCAGATGCAGAATTGGAGTGCCCCACCAGTCTTCCTGCAGAAGCCTTTGGACTTTGGCTGATTTTTGCGGGCTTGACGAGGCAGTAAAGGCTATCCGAGTGCTGCGACGGATGCTCAAGCTCCAGCCACCGCAAAGGCGACTTTCTTTGCAGTTCCTTTAATGATCCCGAGAAGAAATTACAACTTCAGTGGACATGAATTTGTTGGAGTGCTGTATTTTTCTGATGAGAACACACGGCTGACACACCCACAAGCCTGGATTTTGCTTGGCACGGCCGACTGACCTGCTGGTGTTAGGAATGCCGTGTTTGCCTGTGCTATGGGTGCCACAGAGGCCAGCCATGGCCTGCCATGATAAGACAGCGACTCCCCAAACAGAAAAACCACTTGGAAAGATGTGATAGCGACATCAGCAGCTGGTCAGGCCGACCTGCCACAACCTGCTGCCTGGCGTGCACTCTTTTTGCTGCTGGATGCGGACAATGATGGGCGTCTCAGTGGAACCGCCATGTTAGTTTGACGGCTCCACGCTGGAACCTGTCAAGCAAACTGCCATAACATGCAAATGTGCCAGGTATCGATGAGTGTGCCGCTGGTTCCGCGCTTAAGATCTTCTACAGTGATTTCACTTTCTGTGCCACTGGTTTTGCTGAGGCCTTCGGAGGCTCACAGGGATCTCGAGATCCGAGGCCGAGACTCTGCCGAGCACGAGGGAATGATGTACTCTGGTCAAACGGACCGTCACGATGTTCGATGCCTTTTGACCGAAGCGAAGCACTGGAACATCACGGCTGTTCAGGTGACCGAGGAGGACTTGAGGACGGCTGTTCAGGTGCAGCGAACCGGAAGGGCCATTGATGGCGAAGTGGTTCGAGAGTTTGAGCTGCTTTCAGGCTGCCGACCTTGATGGCAACAGCTTTCTGGACTGGGCTTGGATTCTCAGGACATCTCAGACTATCATGGGGCTCAGGCCAAGTGTCCCAAATAGCCGATAGCGAAGAAGCTCGTTCTTTTGTCGTCTAAAAGCAGATGTAAGGCAGAGTGGCTGTCTGTTGGCCTTCTCACCGTGGCCAAGCTTCCAGAGGCAAGAAGTCAACGAACATACAGAAGTGGTACCTGGTACGCTGCTATTCCATGTCAAATTAGATAGAGAGGCAAAGACATGTAGAGACAGAAAAGTGAGCTTTCCTTTTTGGCCAGCCGAGCCTTATTGTACGCCATCCAACTCCTTCGTGAGTGTTGCGATCAGGCCGGCCTGGTCGTGGAGTTTGCGCAGCGACTTCTCAGCCGTATGTGCACCAGCGGGCAGAGTGAGGCGAGACATTGGTACCAACGTGACCAACGGTCCAGCCGCTGGCTGTTTCGCAGGTTGTCCTGGGGATTTGGAAGGCTGCCCAGCAGTTGAAGACAGAGACAGACAAGGCACAGATCCTGTCGTGAAGGGTTTGAGTCAGCTACGATCTGCCCCCATCGTAACTTGTTAAAAGGATTGTGAAGATTTAAGAAGTCGCAAGAAGCCTTTTGACAAGAAGAAGCTACTAGTAACAAGAAGCTACTAGGTGGAGGCCATCGCTATTAGGTTGGAGGCCATTACTACTATATAGTAACAAGAAGCTACTAGTAGCAAAGGGCATCGCTACTAGGAGCAAGGACGCTACTAGGGGCTCCTGGCCGTACTACTAGGAGCAAGTAGCTACTAGCAAGGACGAGGCCATCGAGTTGTCGAGTGCAGGAAGCTCGAAAGATGCCCCTTTCGATGGACGACTTGCGCTTGGTTCTCTCCAGCTGCGAGGCACGCCCCGTTTGGTGCCTTGGGCCATGTTGGGCCGCGTATGCCGTACCTAAGAAACCTAGTTCCCAAATGCAAAGAAGGCCGAGGCGGGCTGAAAAGGGGCTGACGAGCGGTGACAGGTGAGATCCTTTGGTCCATCTGACAGGGTCCGAGAACAGTTCTTGCGTGGTGCGCTAACTCGTGGGTGTTCTTTCCGTTTGACAGGAAGCCTTCCAGTAGCTTCGCAGACCGTCACTCAGCAGCTTGCTTTTCACATGAATTCTCAGCATGCTGTAGTAACATCTCGAAGAGAACTGGTGTCTAGCGTTTTCCTCAAGCGTTTCAGCTCTAGACATGAGACAAAGCACTGTTGCTGCATTGACACGGAATCCTATGAAGGCAACAAGATTCCTTGCATGCCAGGTCTTGCAAGTAACTAGAATACATTGTTGTTCTATTCTTCCATTTTTGCTGTTTCACCATGGCAAGAGACGAGATGGATTCCATTATGAATTTGGCGGATGAGAAGCTCAGTGAAATGTGCAAGGAATTGTGCCACCTTGTCACCATCGAGTTGCAGAAAGCTACTGATTCTCTTGTGAGCCAAGTGGAGCAGAAGCTTGAAGTAAGAAAGGTTCCAACAGCATCACGCGCGTGGGAGGGTGAAACGTTGCACGAAGTCGAAGGTGCTTCTGAATTCCAGTCCTTTCTCGGGGACGACTGTGTCCACGCCGTGAATCCCAAATACCTGGACGACGTGGGTGAAAAGAGACCCGAAAAGAAACCTACCTTGGCTTGGGGCACCAAAATCTCGCCTGAGAATGACGAGAGCGAAGCTCACCCGTCGCCGTCAGAGCCAAACGCGCCTGGTGGGCCGACGGGCGCCGTGAAGTTGAATCAGTCCCTTAGCATGAAAGCCCAGCGGGAGACGATGATTGAGCGGATCTTTGGCTTGGTGCCTGACGTGGGTGGTGGACTGCAGGAGGACAATATGTCGCAAGGTCGGAAACAAGTTCTACGTTTCATCTCCAGCAATTGCTTTGAAGGCTTTGGCATAGTGATGATTCTTCTGTACTCGCTGGAAATCGGTTTGCAAATAAACTATCTTGCAGAAACAAGAGCCTTAGATCCCGGGCATGTTTGGAGGACGATTGACTGGGCTTTTTGCCTTTGGTTCACAGTTGAGGTGGGCTTAAAACTGTATGTCTATCGTATGCGTTTCTTTACAATGCACGGATGTGCATGGAACATCATGGACTTTTTTCTGAACATCCTTCAGATTTTTGAAGAAGTGGTCGCCATTGTGTCTTTGGCTTCTGCCAACACGCAGACGGTCTTGAACAGTGGTGTGATGCGCACGGTGCGGATTTGTCGTGGAATCAAAGTGATGCGCCTGGTGAGAACGGTTCGCTTTGCCGAAGAGCTTCAACTGATTGTGAGTTGCCTGATTCTGTCGGTGCGAACGTTTCTTTGCGTTTTGAGCCTGCTGGTGATGGCCATCTACGTCATGGCCATCTATGCGACGCAGGCGGTGTATGTCTACCACCTGGAAAATCCGGTGAACCCAGAGGGCGAGCTGGTTCAAAGGTGGGGCAACATACCCACATCGATGCTGTCAGTATTCCAGGCACTGAGTGGAGGAGAAGGGCTGTCGAATAGTGAGAACATCCGAGTTGAGCATGATTTTAGCAGCCGTGTTTTGTGTGTAACTTGCAATCTTACAGACGTTTCGAGAATGGCCTTTGTGTGTTGTTTACTCCTCCTGGCCTTCATGAGGGGCTGCCGTATTGGGGCGCAATTCCCATCCTGTAACTTTTGCATGTTTTTGCTATTTCGTCTTAATGTCAGGGTGTAGACCAGCTTACTGGTTTGCTCTTTGGGTTACTCGGTAGAGACGCTAGTGAAATATTGTCAGGCCAACATCAATCATTAGACAGTGATCTACCTTGAACCGCGGCTGGCTCACCCTGTGGTCGTATGTGCTGCCGCTTTGTGGTGCGTGCCCATCTATGCTCCTGTAATTAGAGTGTGTAGGCAGTGCGTTGAAGCCGGGCTTTGTTATGATTGCTTTGCTTGCCGGCGACGCCTAGATATCAAATTGGTTTCGCGGTCCCTCCCCCGCTGTGATTGCAGCAATCACGTCTAAGAGCCTTGAGTTGCAGGTGGCGTGACTGCTTCTATACCTGTATACATACCATCATACCACTGTTTCACAACATGCATCCCAGCTTACAACCCAAATTTGTTTCCTTGCGGCCTTGCGTGTGTTCCATATATGTATATGCAGTCCTTTACTCCAGTTCATTCGGATTAATTTGCCATATTCTATCCGGGGTGTTTCGCTCTTGAGTGTGGGTTTCGGCTGGACAGAATAGTGCTAGAATAGAATTCTGGCTGCCTTCTTGTGGTGGTTGATGGTTTGTGCTACTACCAGCTGGCCACACAGTATAAGAGTGTCCCACTTTGATCCTGTTGTTGGAGTTTGTGGTCCATGTGGCTGCTATTGGGATTTTATGTTGAAGAAGATTGCTTGAGTTTGGGTTTGTTCCGGATTGTGTTTCGCCCGCGGCCTTTTTACCTTACAGGCCTTAAGCCATTTGATGTCGCTACGCATTTTGAGCGGAAAGAGTGCCTTTTGAGCTTTCACAGTGGTACTCGGAGCTTGAAGATCCTTTTGGCGGTTGCACATTGCGTTGACCCACCTTTGGGTGGTTGCATTGCCCTTGGAACTCCGCTGGTTGCTTGTTGGTTGAGTTGGATTGGATTTGGTGTGTTGGCAAGCGCCTTCCCCAGGTTGATCTTTACAAAGCCGGAATTCGCTGGGTGAAGCTCGCTGTTGGTGGCTAAGCCACGCTACATTGGGTTGCATCCACACCTTTGACATTGTACATTGACATTGGTTGTTGAAACACTGCGTGTTGATACATTGCCAGTTGCCGTTGTACATTGAACAACCACTTTTGCATTGTACATTGCCCGTTGGTTGCATCGCTTGTGACATTGGACATTGTACGTTGCCTTTTTGCAGTTGACACCTTAGTTGTTTCATCCTCGCACTTTGCGAGGAACCATGGCTGATGAAGAGAAAGGTTCATCTTCTTGGTACAAAGTTCCTACATGGGATGGGAACCCTTCGACCTTCCGGACCTTTCAAAGGGAGATGAGTTGGTGGATGGCGTCGATGGACGTATCGTCGTGCACCAAATACAATGTTGCAGCTCGTTGGACATTGCGCCAGACAGGCATCGTTCGAGCTCGATGTGAAGAGTTCACTCCCGAAGAATTGGCCGGGAAGACTGAAGTGAGGGGTACAGACCCATCATCTGGCGAAGAGGTGGTCCTTGAAGAAGCAGACCCTTGGTTTGGCATCCGCAAACTCATGAAGGCTCTTGAAGAGAGCATGGGAAGGACCATCCTCGATCGAAAAGGTGAACTTCGACGCCAGTTTTACCAAGACCTCAAACGAAACGCTGGCTAGAGAATCAGCACCTTTTGCGCCCGCTTTCGAACGCTTGTGTCGGAGATGCGTCGAGAAGGCATTACGTTGCCAAGCGAGGAGTTGGGTTGGTTCTTGCGAAATCGCTTGGGGCTCGATGCAATTCGAGTCCAGTTGCTTGATACAGCGTTGAGGGGTCGTGAATCCTATGAGGAAGTTGAAGCTGAAGCATTGAGACTCTTCCGTGATTTGCATAGTGAAGATCCTTTGCGTCGGAAGAGCGCCACTGATAGATCACCATTGCTCAGCCGCTTCCTCAGCCAGTCTCAGTCGGGAGCCTCATCTTACAGAACCTCTCTCCGGTGGTTCATCGTCGTTTGGTACTCGGTCGTACAGGTCATCGTCGGTTGGTGGCAGTTCACAGAAGAGTTTTAGACAACCTCCCAAGCCTCCACCTCCACGAAGTGCCATGGTTGCTGAAGGGCTTGCTGACGAAGTCCTTGAAGGCGAAGACGATGAAGAGGAGTTGGTTCCAGATCAGCCAGAGGCCAATGCAAGTGGCCTTGAAGAGGTTTTGACGGCCGAAGCCGAAGTGTTGGCGGCAGAGATTCAGGCTCTTGAAGAAGAGGGCATGGAACCTGACGTGCTGGAAGCCCTCGAATGTGGAGTCGAACAAGCCGCTGAGTCGCTTGTCGCAATGCGTGAGGCTCGCCACAAGATTGCCGAGATCAAGAAGGATCGAGGATATGGAAAGCCTATGAGCCAACCTGCAAAACCTCGATTCACAGGCAATCAAGTCAATGGCAAGAAAGCCAAGTCGAGTTGTTGGGATTGCGGCCAGCAAGGCCATTGGAGTGGAGACCATGGTTGCCCAAACCCTGGAGCAGGACTCTACAAGCCCAAGAATAGCAACCCCAAGCCTCAGAAGCAAGTGCGTGTGGCTGAAGCTTTGACTACAGAGCTTTCCGCTGACCCCACTGCACCTGCGGATGAAGCTCATGAAGTGTTGACATTGTCTCGTGTGAGTCGTCCATCCACGTTGTCGGAAGCCTTGCGCCAGTCGAACGAAGTCCATGTGAGCCAGTTGGCCTCCCTATCCATGGACAAACGACTGATGGGTGCCTTGGATTCAGCTTGTAACAGAACTTGTTGTGGAACAGCTTGGTTGGATCATTACCTTACCGCACTCAATGCCGCGCCCCAGGAGATCAAATGCTTGGTTCAACAATGCCCTGAGCAGGAGACATTTCGTTTCGGTGACGGCGGCGCACAGAAGAGTTCTTACAGAATCAGGTTGCCGATGGTCATTGGGACAGATTTGGTCCTCACTTGGGTATCCATCATTCCAGTTGAGAGTTTGGGACTACTTCTGGGACGGGATTGGTTGGATGGAGTTGGTTGCGTGTTGAGCTTTTCCAAGAAGATCATGAGGGCTGATCATTTGTCGGGCAAGCACATTTCTTTGCACCAGTTGACGGCAGGACGTTTTGCATTGCGATTGATCCCTTCGGAGTGGCCCAGGCCTGGTTCCCAGCGTTGGCGTCGGGTTGGACAGGATGGGGTTGTTGCATTGCAGATTGCGCATCACGAGTGGTTGCAAAGAAAGCTTTTGGCAGTTCAGTTTGTTGGAAACCCTCACCACGACCTCAAGAGCCATGAGCATCTTTTGTCAGAGCATTCTGTTTGCGCAGCAAAGCTTGTAGGCATGTCGGTTGAAGCAGGTAGCAATTCGTTGAATTTGGCTCGAAGAATTGCCTATTTTGAAAGCCTCGCCAAGTTCGACAACATCCTCTTCAAGCACACCCGATCGA